ACCATTACTAGCTTTAGTAACCGACATATCTGGAATGAGGAAAAGCCTTGTTTCGCAATATAATGTATATTTTTTAGATGAAACTTGTAAATTTTAATTTACAATGAGTCAAATTAAAAAGATTGTAATAGTAGATCTATATTCGAGTTAGTTCTTAATATAAGATGATATTGCTTTTCTAGCAATTAACTATATATCTTAAGGGAGGGAGTATAACGGTTGGTTTTCTTTGTACAAACCTACCACTACCTCAACAAAGTATTGCAAGTTTGCAACAAACAGCCGCTTTCTCATTACAAAGTAACAATGGACCCATTTCTCAACCTCCATGCCATGGAACATTGCCTTCGTGTGATGAGAAAGGTAGGGGGTTTTATTGCAGCATAGTGCCAAATAATTACATAATCCTTATGCAATATGCGTTGAAAGTTTTAGTTTTTTGCAACAAATATCAAATCGTAGGGTCATGTTCGCTTGAACTTATCAGCCTGACTTATTAGCCATAGTACAGTGTTTTTCTCTCACAACAAATTAGCTAACAGTACTTTTCAGCCTAACATCCCAACGAAGCCATGACTGGACCGGGATGACCCTCCTTTGCCGTCACGACGGAGGACTGAGATACTCAGCCTGTTCGCTGGTTGGTTTCTGGGTTGATAAGTCCGGCTGATGCTGGTTTGTTGTGAAATAAAACACTGTATCATGACTAATAAGCCCTGACTGAAACCAACGAGCGAACATGCTGACTGTTTCCATAGCACTTGGGCCCGGCTGCGCCACGGCCCCCCAGCCACCTGAGTCCAGCTGCGGCCACTGGAAAGGAACCGCCCGGTTCTTCGAGGCACGTTGGCTATAGTGCTACCTTCCAGCCGATGGATTCAATTCACGAGAACTTCCAAATAGTATAAATCCAAATTTCATTCCAGGGAGCATATAGTTTTTTAGTTCATGTACGATTTTTAGGAGAAATGGCATAGAGAAACGGCTTTCAACCGTATGCATCAGGCTAGGACTTTTTTTCTACAGGGACAAATTAAAATCCATGTCAGGCTTTTAAAAAATTCTCAGGACGTGACGCGTCGCGCGTCTCGTGTGTTCGGTTGGCTCACACACAACTGCAGCCAGCGCTCGCTCCTCCAAAGCGCAAGCGCCGCCCGCTCCGCTCCGTAGGTGAGCCATGCGAAGCTCGCCCGCCCCGAACCGTCGTTGCACACTGAGACCTATAATAACAGCATGTTCGGTTGGCTAGTTCGTATCGTTGCTGGTTCGTGAAGAAGTACTGTTGGCTAGTTTGTGTGAGAGAAAATACTATTTCAACTGAAAATTTACGATCGTTTATGACAAGCCACAGCCAAACGACCCTGGTGCCCGGCGCGCCGGAACCGAGTGCGGATTGCTGCGGCGCACTGAGCGCCGTGTCGCACGAGTGCGCCTGCAGCACCATGGGCATCATCAACAGCCTGCCCGGGCGATGCAACCTCGCCCCAGTCAACTGCTGTAAGCTTAGCTAAGCTAGGCCGCAACGTTAACAGTTCCATCCATCTCTGGACTGCTAAGCTTTTATAGATGCATGTCATGCGTGCTTATGGTTTTCTGTTCATGCAGCTGCCTGAGGCAAAGCACGGGTGCTGCAAAAGCAAGCAAGAGCAATAAGGCGTGTTCCACCGCGCGACAGCAATCGAGAGCTCCACCAGCTTTCGGCCTGACCCCCGGCGTCGACGTCTTCGTCGCCGTCGCGTCCGTTTTCATGATTAGACTGTCTTGATTGATATCCACCTCAGTGAAAAATAAGTAAAACCATGCTTGATAAGAAAGTTAATTGCCATCGATACGTTTGGCACATGCAGCTTTGTTTTTGTGTTTTCCTCTGATGTCTGCCTCACCCTCACTCCACAGGTTATTGAGAACTGCAACACAGGAAAATAGGATATCGATCAGAAATTAGTAGCGGGCAGCCGAACACCGAGTAAACACACAAACACGGACAGATTCTGGGGCAAAAACTGGTAGATGATTACTGTGGTCTGGGTTACAATTTTTTTTTAACAATGGCGGATTTATTAAGACGAAAGAATATATGTACAAAAAGGTTAGACCACCGAGATATCATACAAGACATTCGAGGGGCTAACCAGCCCACGCGACGCGGTTGAGTACAAACACGACACACTGCCAAGGATCATCATTGCCGAGCACAGAAGCAAAGCTGCCAGCAGCTCCGACTTCCCATGGCACGTCATATCCACGAGCCACACACCGACGGACCCAAGGCTAGCGGCCACAACCGGTCATCTTTGCCAAGCTCGGACACCCACGCGAAGAGCAGCTCCGACTTGCAATCGTGAACCCACACCTCGCCCCTAGCAGATACAGACCCCCGGTAGAGCCCTAGTCGAGAGGGGGGGGGAGGGTCGCCGCGCGCCGAGAAGCAAGCAACCGCCGAAGGGGAGACATCGAAGCCGCGACGAAATCCAAATGCGACGCCTCAAAAAGGGAACGACGCCGATGGCACCACTGCCGCATGTCCACAGTGGACCGGATTTTCACCCTTGGATGACAATGCTAGAGGGGAGACGCAACGCCCCCAACAGGGAATGCGGCGCCGACCGGCGGCGCCATCGCCGAGGCTTTCGCCCAAGAACCCCACAGCACGAACGTCGGGCCACGAAGCCGGACCACTTGCCAGCCAGCATCGCCACCGTTGTTGTCCTGCCGCCCCACGGAGACCCTTTCAGAGGGGCATCGACGCGCCGGCCACCCGTAGCAGCTGCACAGTTGCGTCGGCCACCACCCCCTCAAACCGGGTAACACGTAGAGCCGGACCTGACTCCACCGTTGCGTAACACCGCCACACGTCGAGGCTGTCATCGACCGCCGCCGCCGGCTCTAGCACCCACCACCATCGCTACCAACCTGAGACACCGGCAGCCATGAGGCGCGTGCCCCACCACTGTGGGCGCACGCCGGATTCGGATGCCAGGGCACGAACCCGGTGTCCCCTGCCGATGTCGCCGCCTACGTCATGACCACAACCGCAGACACTGCCCATAGCTGGCCCGCCATACAGGGAGCAGTCGCGGCCTCCCTGGCTGTTACCGACCACTGTGGACGTGCGCACGAGCCGCTGACTGGGCACGGGCAGACTAGCCCGGCAGGCCACAGCAGCAGTAGCCTCGGCTGGCCGCCGCGCCAAGGCCGTGAGAGGAGGGGGCAGGCAGAGAAGAGGAGAGTGCCACCCCCTAGCCTGCAAGAACCCGACCGCCACCGCACCCGCCGGGGGCCGCTATGCCAGATCCAGCCGCCTTAGGCCCGGATCCGGCCGCCCGGGCACCGAACCGGCGGCCCCGGCCGGTGCCACCGTCACCATCACCACTTGGAGGAGAGAATGTGCGGAGGAGACAGAGAGCCCTGACGCCATCCCCTATGTCAACACGGGCTCTAGCCGGTGCCACCATAGCCGTGGCGGCCCTCCCCGCCGAGCTCCACGCAGCTGCGCTGGGGTGGGGCCGCTGGCCAGCGGCCGCGCGCGCAGCCACTCAAGGGAGGGAGGGCCCTACCGTCCGAGCGGCCATGCCGGTGGCCAGCTTCAGCGGCGGCGCGGCGAGAGAAGCGGAGGGAACGGAGCGACGCTCGGGCTACAAGTTGGGCCTCCCGTATTGCCCGCGTGGGAGCAACACAGGGGCAGGGGCGTTCAGTGGCAACTTTACAAACTTTACTAATCCAAAAGTGGTCTGGGTTACGATCACGGGAACGTGCCGTCAGTGCTGATGATAACTAATTCTCACGAGCAACCGACATGGCCGGTTCTAGGCAGTGAAACTGGCCGGGCCGGTTAGAGCAAGGCTGGTGTCGTCTCCTTCCTCCTTTGCGCTTTGAATTTCGTTGCACCAAATATTTGATGATGTAGCCCAATCCCCATGCTGGCATATTTTTGCATGTCAACACTTTCCCATCCCCTCATAGAGAATAATCTTATCCATCCAACCCACGCCAAACTCCGTGTCGCCGGTTTCCTTTCGTCTCGCACATCTAGTGTACTAATGTAGACTGCCACCGGCCATCCCACACCCACCTCCCAGTCGCTTCTATCCTCTCGTCTCTCATGCGTGCGGGTGTTGTGGCTGGGCCCTCTTTGCCCTTTGCCATCAATGGTCCTCTCCTCCCTACCTCGCCTCTCTCCCCGCGCGTTAGCTGCCCACGCTCCACCACCACCAGTCCTCTCCTCCACTTCAGAGATGGGACAAGGAAAATCTTCCTCCACAGGGTTGAGGATGAGGACCAATGCCTTGACGGATAATTTTCTGTTGACTTCCCTGATGACACCTCTTGAAATGTCAGTTTTAGAATGCTCCGTGTAGAATTGCCACCGAAGAAAAGAAGTTGCAACAATATTGTCACTTTTGATGGCGGGCATTCCAATGCCCCTGTGGGATGTAAAAAACAGGGAAGATAAAGTACTAGTACTAGATTTTAATGGGCCAAATTAACTTTAATGTCTGGAAATTAGAATCTTAAAGTAGTACAGAGGGTAACGGAGGCCTACGTGACTCCTCTACGGTGTGCTACTGTGCTGCTAAAGATAAAGATACATATGTATAGCCATACAAAAGATCAACACGAAATTCACATCATAGTGAGTCGCGCCTGCCGCCACTGGCGGAGCTACGTTGGGGCCAAACTGGGCTTTGGCCCCCCCTTGTCGTGGCTTAATTTTCAAAGGACCTGCAAGCATGTATGGCATGCATGCGGAGTGCACCATTCATTGTGTTTATGTACTACCAAGCTGCTGTATTCTTCTGCCTTTTCTTTTGGTAGGCTTCTTCGAGGACAATGAGATGCATACTGCACACAACACACAATAGTAATAGCTAGCTAGCTAGGGCTCATGCAACTTCGTTTCTTGACCTACTAGACCACTCTTTGTATTGCAGTAGCCAGTAGTTGCAGACTCTGGTCTGGTTACGGTTTCTTGGATCAAATACTATGCAAATGCATGACATTCAGTATAGCCTGAAATTGGCCCCCCTTGATTTGTCCTCACGCTCCGCCAGTGCCTGCCGCTGCCGGATTTGCTTGTTCCTGGGGGATAAACGGAGGCACGACGACGGTGTTTGCACCCCACATCTGAACACGTAGCTGGAGTAGGGTGGTATGTAAGATCTCCATGCCAGGGCTTCGAACTTCCCCCGAGGCGTTGTGCTTCCAGTATGAACATCTTGTAAAGTTATCTTGGGCAGATCGGGTTGCTGGCCTGAAGACGCTTGATAACAACTGTAGGCTATGAGCACACTATCAGTCTTAGATAGTGTCCAAATGTATATAGGCTGACCTTTCGCCAAGCGATGAGCTGGAAGCTCACCGAAGAAGTCGAGATGCATACGTCTGAAATCTTTGATGCGTTTGAGAACCGTGTGCCAAAACCAAGCACAAAGATTGTTCCTCAGTAAGCCACCAATAATATTTGCACCTACGAATGATCTGTCCATCAGGTCCGCGATCTCCATGCATACAGATGCTAGCCCCAGCTGCTCCTCGGCATCTGGTGTGCTACCGAACGCCATTGTCTTGAAGAAGTACCAGAAAGCTTCTCGAGACAGAGGTTTCAGCTCAAGAGCTTTCATGGTCCCAAAACTTGCGACCATCTCTGACCGACTTGTGACAACAATTTTACTGACAGGTGCCGTGCCTTCGCTCTTCAGCGTGGACAGTGCTCTTCTCCATGCGCTCTCATCCACGCCACCTACTAGCTCAGCAACAACTAGTGAGCTCCCAGTCGTCGACGCAAGATCATTACGATATTTGATTACACCGCTATCTCCCAGAGGCGTCAGGTGCAGGTTTTCACCCACGATGTCGGATTCTTCGAAGAAGACTATCAAGGAGAAGTGTTGGCGCACCCTCTCGTCGCGCCAGACGTGCTCCACGAGCGTGCTCTTTCCAAGTCTTGCTGGGCCGATCACTGGAAGCACGGCCAAGTCTTGTGCGCCTGCAGGCTCTGGTTCCAGCAGGAACCTGATGATGCTCTCATACTCTGCATCACGGCCGAACATGCGGTTCTCCAGCCACAGGTGCCTGCTGTAAGGCTCGCGGAGCAGGGGAGGGTAGCAGCTCAGGAACAGGACCAGCTCCTTCATGTCGCTGGCCATGCGTTCCAGGCCGATGAGCGCCTCCTGCAGCTCCGCCTCTGCCTCACGTCCGGCGTAAGACGCCGTGACTGTCGTCGCCGCCGTCGTCGTTCTGGCTGGGAGAATACAGATGCGCTTTGCTGGGTTGAACTCAGACAAGGCCAGCGACGAGTGTTTGTGACGACTGACCTCGGGACCTCGGGGATGTTCTTGGCGCATGACGGTGGTGAGCAGGTAGTAGCCTCTGTACATGCCTTCCCTCATCAGATGAAGCTGTCGGAGCATCGCCTGGTTCGTGACGCGCCGCCGCTCGGCCTCCTCGACGGTGATTTGGATCCTCAGCAGCACACGCCGCAGCCGCTGCAGGTTCTCCTGCACGGTGCCCTCGTGTCGCCGGTGACAGTACCAGTCTACGGCGAAGGATATGGATCGGCTCATGAGGTCGCCGAGGACCGCAGAGACTATCGCTTCCATATGCGAACGCCGGTGGTTGGATTGAACAAGCGCTAGGATGCCCAAGTGGCTGTAAATCGTTTCTGCTTATTTCTGGTCATCTATAGCGACCCTAGACTCGTGACTTTGAACGTATATATTTTTTTCTTTGGCTTTCCGGACTGACTCGTTGCGTAATCCTCCTCCTCCTCTTTTTTTCTTCTTCTATTCTATATATATACTATATATCTACTGGGTAGCGTACCCGTACATTGTTACGGGATAGCTAATATTTTGTACTTAAAACACATGAATCGCAATATAAGATAACAATACAACAAAAGTTTGTGAAATTAACACAGTTACGGAGAGCACGGCGTCGCAGGCTCACAAACTATACTTTATAGACCTTTCTGTGATGCGGCTAAGATAAAATTTTATATCGACGGAAAGAAATCTCCGATATCCATTTCTGGTTTTCTTCGTTTTCCTTTATGGAGTGACACGTGGCCTCCTCTTTCTTCTTCTTTGAAAAGGGAACTCGTGGCTCTGAATTTGATGCCGGGCACAACCAGCTCAACTCAACTTACACCGGTCCAGTTCAACCTTGTTCACGAAGGTAACGCGCTAACGAGCCAGCTCAACTCAGGCTCGTAAAGGTATCGGCTGGAGGGCTCGCTCGACACGGATAGCTCAGTAGATTCGTTTAGCTCATGGGTATCGAAAAAACAGTGAATATATGTTAATAATATCAGTATATCAATTTCATATCTAATCAATACCAATTTAGCACTGAAATAAAACAATAAACCAAAAATATAAAAACAATAGCAGGGGATAGGGATGGAGTACGTGAAGGCACGTCGCTTTTGTTGCTCGATCTTGGCCAATCCACACCCACGAGCAAGCCTTCCTGCCGAATTTGCTTCGTTACTCCAAAATTGGCGGCGGCGGCGGCGGAGTACTCCACTGTACCTCGACGACCTCATTTTGCTTCTCCATGGTGACCGGAGAATGCGAGCGGCACTGGCATGCAATGTGTTATGTGTACCATGGAAGCCGCCGTGGACGGGAGCACCAAGCCCTGGATGACCGGCAGCTGGGTGCACGGAGTGGTGTGGTCATGTCACCCACTGTCGACGGACGGTGGCAGTGGGTGATTTTTTTTTCAATATGGGTGATAGCATTCACTGATTCACATTTACCGCATAGGGTATTTATTAGCAAGGTGAAAGTGGTGGGCTTGCTGGGCCTCCCTCGTTGTGATGGGCTCGTGAGAATTGCTAGTAGGCCGACTCGGAATTGTGAAGCTACTATTCTACTAACTTCAGCTCGTTTCGGCTCACGGGTTGGCTAGCTCGAGTTGGCTTGCTAAAATAACAAGCTAAACTTCTAGCATGGATCATGAAAAAATAAAACGAGCTAAGCTGAACCAAGCTAGCCATGAATCGAGAAAGTTGACGAGTTGCGAGTATTTTATCCAGCCCTAGGCACAACCACATACAGCCTGTTCGCTTGGTCGTATTGCTTATCAGTCAACGAATAATATTTTTCTCTCATATCAAACCAGTCAATAGTATTTTCAGCTATGGCTTATCAGCCAAACAAGCTCAAACGAACATGGCGATAGTTTTCTATTCCCAAACACATATAAAATTCAAATTGTAAAACCGATACTGAGCAGTATGTCACAACAACTACTATGCTTCGCTGGTTGAGGGATATTTAACTATTTGCTACTCTTACATATGGCGCCTAGAGATGGCAACAGGGCCGTGTTCCCAGTTTCCTACGGAGAATTCCCCTATCTGGGGACAAGATGGGACCAACTTCACCACGACATGGAGCTAAACGGGGAAATTCTCCGCCCGTCAGGTCTTGCGGGTCCTCGTTTCCCCACGGAGTCCTATTTATACATCTAAATCCAGATGTCCATAATCCTTTGTCTTATGCATCTATCCGTTCATACATAATCATTTGACATCCTCTCCTAGCCTTATAATCTTATCCATCCAACCCACGCCAAACTCCTAGTCGCCGGTCTCCTTTCCTCTCGCGCATCTAATGTACTGTGGCCAATTGTCGCCGACCGCCACACACCCACTTCCTAGCTGCTTCTCTCCTCTCGTCTCTCATATGTACGGGTGTTGTGGCCGGGCCCTCTTCTCCCTTGCCATCAATAGCCCTCTCCTCTCCTCCGGCGCATCAGCCTCCCGTGCTCCACCATCACCACGGGGGAAATCTTCCTCCACGGGGATAGGGATGGGGACCAATGCCTTGATGATGAAGTTTCCTTTGACATCCTTAATGACATCTCTTCAAATGTCAGTTTTAGAATGCTCCTTACAGAATTGCAACTAAAAGAGAAGAAGTTGTAATGATATTGTGACTTTGATGACTTGCATGCCAACTCCTCACGCTAGCGTGGACTGGGAACGCAAAAAAAACAAGGTGCCCCTAAGTGTTTCTTCCTCACCACATCTCCCTCCTTTGACTATTTCTTCCTCCCTAGACTCTCTGGCGCACCTTGGTCTTTTGTTCCCCTAATTGCTTCTTCCTCCCCCAAACACTCACCAAGTTTTGTTGGCAAGAGGCGAATGAGGGAAACCGTTGGCTGTTTTGTTAAAAAGGAGCCGAGGCATAATGGTCTTTTCACGTGCCACTGCGTCTGAGACAAACACCCTTCCACACTAGCGTGTAGATCTATCGTGCCACATTAGCAAAAAGGGCAAGATTGTAATGCACCTACTATTTTCAGTGACAAATATGTAGTTGTTCGTCTAAAACTGGCAATTGGATATATGGCCTCCATAATAGTGGTAAATAGTTAAATATCTCACTTTGGATGGTTTCTTTGTATCATTGCGCTGACGTTTTACTTTGGCACTTTGGATTGATGTTTAAATATCGCAAATGTCAAAAGACCTTGTGGTTTTAAGGAAGAGAGAGGAAGGCAAAGTTCTGGCTTTTACTCTAACCAAGTGCAATGATGAGTATCATTCTAATTGTGGCATACAAGATGGGAGAGAAGGACCATATGAGTCGTATATAGATAGATCATATCATTATAGATTGATAAGTGCCAAAGTAAAACGTCCTCTGTGCAGTATTTCTTCTATTCTATGGAAGTGTTTGCTCTCCTCACTGTTTACTGGAAACGGATGGAAAATAAGCAAATTTCAAGGCACGTGATACAAGGTGCCAAACATGGATGCAGAACCCGTCACAGGTCTACAAAATTCAGAGATATCAAAAGATCAGGCGCAAAGTAGTCAAATCTTTTGACAATGAAACTTCACTGCAAAAATTGTGAGATATCACAATGATTTTTCTTCTTGCTTCATTGCATATTTAACTTGAACTTCTGTCTAAAAGTCTACTAAATTGCATGTTCTTCAGGAATGCAGCCTGATGAGCACGGGCGGAGCCACGTTGGGGCATCCTGTGCTCCGGACCCCCTTGTCGTTGGTAATTTTTCGAAGGTTAGCGATGACTCTGTGAGACTGCATGCATATTACTTGCTGCACAGTCGCATCGTTGCATGCATATAGTTATTTTTTTTACACTTGATTCTATAGCTGAGCAACAGAGACAATATCACAGCGTGAAAAAGTTATCTAGCTCCGATGTCTTAGCCAAAGAAATTGAGAGAAATTTTAGGCAGATCTGCTATGGAGCTTGATCCGCACCCTCTTCCTTTCAGCTCTGGCTCCGCCACTGCTGACGAGAGCATTTCTCTTCCAGGAACTGTCTGGATACCCGGATGAAATTGCAACATCAGAAGCAAAGGATGAACCATCGTGATTTCTTTCAGGCGGTAGTACAGTAATGAATGGGCAAATGGAGACGAAGGCATCTTCTTAACGGGCTGTATCGAACGAACTATCGATCATAAACGGTGGAACTTGGCAGAGAAATACAGAATGGCAGCACCATGTCGCAAATCCTGTCTAACGCTGGGCTAAGTACGGTGCGATATTGTGCTATCATCTCAGTGCAGGCTGCTTCGATTTCCAAATCAGAGTGAACTGTTGAGCAAACATGTCAAGGTTAGGGACATACGTCTGATTCTGACTAATTCGATGCTAAAACAAGACAAGAAATAGCACTGGGTAACGGAAAGTAGAAGAAGAGGGGATCTGCTTCGCTGCTGCCAGACGAAGGCGGAGTGACGGGGCCGTCGAAAGGTGCGCGGTACGGGGGTAGCGGAGCACCGTGTGGAGGAGCAGCGCGGGCGGCCGGCGCATAAGTCGGGGAGATCAGGTGGGGAGGCACGGACCGGCGCCGCACTTGAGATCTGGGTGAAGCCCCATGGCGCCGGCGCCAGCGCCGGCCTTGCGGGCGAGCTCAAGCGCCAGGACCGCGAGGCTGGGATGAAGATCTTCCGATCCCGCCAGCACCCGGCGCCGCGACCACCACCCGGCCGCTAGCGCCCGCGCCCCGCGGCAGCCGACGTCGACGAAGCTCCCGGGCATCGTGGAGAAAGCAGAGGCGAAGAAGCCTTGATTGGAAACGTGCGAGAGCTAGATCCAGAGTTCCAGACCGAGGGGATTGAGTTTGAGCCCTTGGACTTGCTCACTGGTCTGAGCCGAATTCATCTCTTAGAGAGAATGGGCTTGGAAGCGGGCCTTGTGTGGGCAGCCCACCCTGCGTCCGCGCGAGCTGGAAGAGAGTTCGCGGGCACATGCGACAATCCACGGGTTTTACGGGCTTTGTCGCAGCAGGGTGCTTGGTTAACGCCAAACGCCGCCGAAAGAAGCTCGGTCCTCGGCGCCGGTTGGCGACTCGAGAAGTCGAGATAGGGTCTCAGGGCAATTAGGCTTTCCCTCTTCTCCCCCCGTGCTTTGGCCGATTCTTCCCTAGGATCTGGTCGCGAGTCCACAACCCATCCCACGATCGCGTCCAAGTCATACTCTCCGTCCGGAGCCTAGCCCAGATTTGCTAGCTGATTACCTCGCCCTAAGACTAGGATTTGGTTTCCCGGCTAGGAGTGTTCGCCTCCATGGATGCGAATGTGACTGGTCTGTAGCATCAAGTTCGGGGGTTCTTCGGCAGGGATCAGGAAGCGAGGGGATCCCCAAGCGGTAGGAAAGGTGTTGGCCGAGAAGCTGACTCGGCCGGAATCTCTGGAAATCACTCTGGGGAAGATTTGGTGGCCGCTTAGGGGCGTGGAGTGTAAGGATCTAGGGGACAATCGCTTCCTCTTCACTTTCCTGCAAGGATCGGGGAAGAGAAGAGCTTTGGAGGATGGACCATGGATGTTTAGGAAGGATCTGGTGGTGATGGCAGAATTTGATGGCGCTAAAACAATTGATGAGATTGAGTTTAATTCAATTCCAATCTGGGTGAGAGTTCTGAAAATGCCTTTGGGATTGATGAATAAAGCCGCTGGGGAGGTGATAGGAGGGATGATCGGCGATGTCTTGGAAGTGGATGCTGATGAAGATGATATGGCCATCGGCCGATATATGAGAATTAAGATTAGGCTGGATATTCGAAAACCCTTGATGTGGGGTGTCACGTTGGACTTGGGTGATGAGATCAAGGAGAATATGAAGTGGTGCCCTCTAGTTTACGAGTTCCTTCCGAAGTCCGAACTTCTGTTACACGTGTGGTCTCATTGGTCATACGGATCGTATGTGTGAAGAGAAGGTGGAGAAGGGAGCTGTCCAGCAGTTCAGTAAAGCTCTTAGTTTCATACCTGAGAAGAAGAGGTCTAGGGAGGATTTGCGGAGCAGATCAAGCGGTTCACGACCGCAGCTTCCGTGGAGGAGTGCATCAGGAGGACGAGGAAGTGGTGGATCAGGGAGCTGGGGGAGTGGAGGAAAGAAGGGTAGCGACTCACCTAGTTGGAGGAAGGGTGATACCGCAGGAAGCAATAAGGAGATGTAGGTGAGGAAGATCGGGAGGTGATCAGTCCTTTCAAGCAGGCAGAGCCATCTGGTACGGCGGGAGCGGCGAAGAAGTCCCTTTTCCAAGACCCACCAAAGCTGGTAGGAGACGGGAGTTCGACGGACACTGTCATGACCTTCATTCCCAGGAGAATCTTTGATGGAGTGGGAGAAGGACGGCATAGTTTAGAATTATTTTGATCTTATATAGTCTCATATTGATGTTTACTTACTAGTATATGCTCTTGTTATATGTTATAATTATTCTTTTTTCATGCGGCACCTTTCGAACTTAGCCGTGGGTCAGAACGAAGCAAGTATAGATCGGTTTTGTCTAAACAGAACGGTTACAGATTCGATGCAAGCAAAGCAGTGACGAGAGCAGCAATTGCTTCAGCTGACCCATAAGCGCCTAAGTGGATGCGGCTGAAATGAAAGCACGGCACTGACAGAAGCTGTTGAGTCCAAGGGCTGCGTTTTACGTACTATATCAGCTAGCAACAGCCAAGCAATAAAACTTCTATAATCTGGAACGTTTTTGTTTTCAGTCACAAAGAGAACGCAGTGCTACGTTTCCAGGAATCAGATGAGTGGCGAGCCATTTGTTGTTTTCAGTCATAGTCAATAGTCATCTTGGAGAATTGGACCCCAATGAAGGAGTGTCCATCCTGTACACTTCCAGTTTTTGGGTGTCATAATGGTCTCCCATGTGAACTCGTCCAGGATGGAAAGCATCCTGGTGAGGAAATTCTTTGAAATAATCCAATTTTTAAAGGCATTTTCTACTAAAATAAATGTACCGCCCGTTCAGAAAAAAGTGAGGCCATCCCGACATTCTATACGGATGGTAGTCGGTACACACAAGCAAACACCTGAAGTCTGAAGAGTGATGAGATGCAGTTTGTCCCTTGGCTATCGATCTGTACAAGTAATGATCCCGCCAGCGTCACACAGAAAACTAATAATTCAGTGCCGGTTTAGATGCATTTAAAATGGCAAAACTTTTGGTTCTAATTTTTTTTCTGTAAATCTTGAGGCATTCAAACTTTACATCTTTGTATTTAGAAGCATGATAAAACTTTAGCACCGTATCAAATAAAGACTAATTCACTCTCATTTAATGACTGATTTGCTTCATTAATCGGCAGCCATGCACAGCCATGCATGTTGCATGCTCGCCTTGTGGTGCTGCTCGCCTAGCTGCTGCTCGCCTAGACACTGCACGCCGGCGGTGTTGCCATGCCTGGCGGTGTTTACAAATAATAAAAATTACACTTTATTACATAATTATTCAATAGTTCAAATACATAATTCAATTGTCCTCAACCATACAAATCAATCACACACGTTACAATTGAAGTACACCATTTAAATTGTCATATTATATTTAACAAGCCAAGGGCTATTTGGTCATGGAAATCATTCATGATTGCAGATTCATCCCTTGCCGGCGGTTGATGAGTTCGTGGCTGTGAGGCCGATGCCTCCGGTGGAACATAGTTCTCATCACGATCACAACGATCAATGTCTCTATCCACTATTGCACTCGTTCTAATGAAGTTATGGAGTGCCATGCATGCAACGATAATTTGGCTTTGCTTATGAGGTACATAACTTGGCATATGCAACAAAATCCTCCACTTCATCTTCAAAACTCCAAACGACATCTCGATGACATTTCTAAGAAATGAATATGCGTAGTTGATGATCTCTTTTTTACCTTGTGGCTCCAGGCCGTCGCGATACTCCGAATAATGGTACTTGGTTCCCTTGTAGGGCGCAAGATAACCCGGACGGTTTAGGTAGCCCGAGTCCACCAGGTAAAATTTTTCTACACAATGAAACAGTTTGTAAGTTTCAACTAGTTGAACTAGAAGTTGCAAATGCTACATTGGAAGGTGTTTACCTATGGGTGGATGTGGAAAGATGTGGTTGTACTTGGTCATAGCATCAGTGAACACTCTCATGTCATGTACAGAATCAGGCCATCCAGCAAGAACAAATGTGAACCTCATGTCGAAGCCACAAACATCCAGCACATTCTGTGTTGTCATGCCCTTGTGGCACATGTCCTGAACCAGCTTATCACTTGGCACCACACATGGTATGTGAGTGCCATCTGTGACAGAATCGCCAAATTTATACAAGATCAAGTATGGCTGTCCCCGCTAACACGTTGACATGCGCATACTTTTACTTATACAAACCCGGTAGTCCGCCGAGTGTCACGAAGGACCTCGGTAAATCAACATCACAACCAAGATCGCGTGATTAAGCAAATACACATCACATACGCAGAGTTACAGCGGAAATAATATTACAATTGGGTTCACAAATAATAGTACAAGTTTGGGTTTTAAAACTGATTAGAGAAAACAACATAGCTTTCAAATGATTACATTAATATAAGTTCCAAATACATTGCTAGCATAAGTGACATCCTCAGATAAAAACATATAGGTGAGAAGTAAATATAGTCACCGAGCCCACCGACGGTTAGCCACCATCTTCCGCAAGCCAAGAACTTCACCTACAACATGGTGGGATAAACCCTGAGTACTCGAATGTACTCAGCTAGACTTACCCGTCGGAAACCAAAACAAATGACACCAAGGATTATGCAAGGCTTTCTTTAGTGGGCTAGCTGACTCGTTTGCGAAAAGCATAAGCTATCATGAAGAAACCATTTTAAGTACTTTGCATCATCTTTATTATAACATATCCATCTAGGTAAGCACCTATACTATAGCAATCACTTGATTAACTAATAACATCCAGTTACCAATTTAGATTTAGCATATCCCATACCATCCAGATAACCATCATTGTTCCATAATAATTACTACGATGCCGTAGCTCGAGTCAAGTGCTCACTATCCAGGAGCGATGGCGATTCGAATCGATTCCTAACCAGCTGGTGATTTATTCCTCACACAAACCACACTCACCGATCAAGTGAGCTACAAATCACCAATGACACTTTTCAAGTAGCCGCGGGATAACAGCCGGGACCGCACTACCCAGGGACCGCTCGACTGCCAGGACGCACCTTGGGCTCACTCTTCGCGTCCCCGTCATACCCCCTTCAGCACCAGTCTGCCAATCCGGATTTATCCCTGCTCGAATAGTGTCACTAGCTTCGCGGTCGAAAGGTACTTTATTCAGCCAGCTAAATGTGAGGCATGCGTTCAACATAACAAGAGGGACGAGCAACGATCGGTCCTTAATCGACACAGACGGAAAACTAACAGCACCCCAGAACCCTGTCTGGTTGCCTCCAACTTTTTCCCGTCCGGTCTCTATTTATTCCACATTACCAGGTTATGTTCCACGATAGCACAATATAGCCAACCGTGATCAAGTTATCACCTATAGCTCGCAGGTGACAGGAAATCACCCGACTTCTACCGGTCTAAGCAGAGCTAAGCATGATAAATGTTCCTGGACTTAAATAGGATTCATGGTAGATATTTCTGGTCAAAGAAGGTAATATGCAGCAAGTGTTTCCAAACAACTCCTGTCACGTAATGCAGCAATACGAATAACTTTAAGTGACATTATTAAAATAGGTAGGCTTATAATGCTCCGGGGCTTGCTTGGAATCCAACACTAGGTTAGTGTTTGTTAGACGACACTCGCTTGGTGAGCATCTCCCGTTCTAGCACTTGTCCAGTCCTTCCACCTTCGGGATAGGTCCACCATACATCGTCTTCGGGTTCGGCTCCAATATCACGTCCTTCACGTGGTTCATCTAGCGTACCTAAATGAGATGCAAGATGCATGTGTATGAATGTGATGAATGGTAACACAAGATTATGCAAGACATAGACACCAATAGCTATTTAACTAACATCACACAACTAACTATAGAGAGCAAGCACATCAATCATGACACAAGTTTAACAAGGTCATAAGTATCATAACTTGACCATCAACAAGGGCATAAGCCACACTTAGCAACACATGGAGTAAACAACCATAACTAGCATATGTCTATTTCTGGACTGGAAACAACAGCTTCATGTTTCGATCATAACTAGAGTTATACAAATCCAATAGACATGCAACAAGACATTCTGGAAAGCTTATGAAATTTTCTACAATTCATCTTTAATCATCTTAGCATGATTCTCAAGTTACTAAGTTAAATATACCCATTTACAGAAACTGGTCTAAACAAGACAGAGAGCAATCAATTCTGTAATCCAACTTTAAACAGCTGTAACTCTTAAACTACTTGGCCAAATGACACCAAATTTTAACATAAGCTAGGTACATGAATTATTTACAACTTTTGTATAAACAAGTTTCACAACAAAGCACATTATCATGAATAACTTTGCTAAGTTTCCAGATCTGTCCATAAACCACATCAGCAAGAAAATAATTATTAACTTATGTTGCAAACACATAATTAGGCAAAACCAACCTTACCAACATTTCACACATGACTAAAGAACACCAGAAAGCATGGTGCTCACCTCTAAATAAATTTTCTTAAAGCATTTCTTAATTTATTTAGACATCAAGGTGTATTTATGAACATATACCAAAAATGCACAATAAATTCTACAAAAATTACAGTAGCTCACATATCCTCTCAATAGTCTACTGTATAAATTTCAAACCATTTTCATAAGTATATCTTCCTCTATGAAAAAGACAATTTGCTATTGCAAGAAATCATGTGAGAGCGAGATAAACCAATAACTCACTCATACTTCATCCAATACTCATGAAATTTTTACCACACATCAACTATCACATTAGTAGCATGCCACAAAAATTTCACTTCATTTGGAGCCCTAGATCTGAAGTTATGGAAAATAACAAATTCAACTAGCATCACAACCTTACTGCACAAATCTATTTTTACAGCAAAATATTTAAACTAAAACATACCATATTATAGATCTAATGCATAGAAAATTTCACAAGGATTCCAAAAAGTTCTTATTTACTATTTTACGATTTTTATACTAATTACTATGAATTTTCAAA